TCAACAAGTTCTGTGTATTCAATTTTTTTTTATTAAATCCTTGAAAACAAATGTTACGACATTCAAAAATATTCAGAAGAAAAAAGGAAAAAAGAAAAAAAAAAAAATCAACTTTGGTAAATTTACCAATTGCATAAAACAACTAATTCTAAAATTTGAAAAAAAATATATATATATATATATATATATATATATATATATATATATACACACACACATATATATATATATATATATATATATATATACACACTTTAGACAAAGTAACATATTTTACGCCATTCCTTGGCAGAGACATGTATGTATGTTTTTACCAAAAGTGTCCTTTTCAGACATGGATGGATAAATACATCCAAAACATAACATTCAAAAACCTGCTACAGACATGTTTATATGTTGATCTTGATTCTTTTTATACACTTCTGAGCTTGAAACAAGTCCAATAGTCAACTCCTACTCCAGATGGAGGTGTTAGTCACCACTCAGGTACTTCAAGGTGCCTCAGTTTCTTAGTTACTATATTAAAAACAAATAAAAAAAAATTGTCATTTTCCAGTTATTTCTTTCAATAGCTCTCACCACATAAATTGACTAAAATAGTTTGTAAGCATCTGAATTCATATTTCTTTTTCTCAAGAACTGACAACAAAAATGTTAAACATTATTTATATATTAGACTATTTACAAGAATAGTGTTTAATACTTTTGGTGCCAATTCTCAGTAAAAAAAAAAAAAAAAAACAGAATGCATAAATCCTGCTTCCTGTGTTTGGGTTTTATTCAAATCCTAAAAATAGCTTTTTAAAACAATAAAAATTGCTGAGGTGGTGTTTTTACATCAATAGTGGTGTCAAAAGAAAGACTGTCCTTTTGACACAGTTTTTTTGCATGTACATATGCTAAACTTTGCCCAAATTTCAAACTTGTTCTATCTGTACTAAAAATGTTATCACATAACAAGGATCAATTTGAAATTGTTCAATTATAATAATTATAATTTCACCATTATAGAAGGAAGAAACTTAAATCTCAAAGAAATTAGCATCTAAGTTTCGTGATAATCTCTATAAAGATTGTCATTATCAAGAATAGTTGTTGAAACAATAGAGAGTAAAATATGAAAGTTTCACATGAATTTCTTTCATTTTTTTTCTTAAATGCTATGTCCCTTCAGGATTTTGGCTAAGAATAACTCCAAGATGTATGAGCCAAAAGTGACACATTACATACAACACATTACATATCAGTGACTTTTGCTAATCAGTTTACACTTAACAATTGTATGCTACAGTTTGTTTGCAAGAGGACATTTGGCACGTTTTCAAAGGAATAAGTGCTATATCTAGTCTGAAAGTTGACAGTCTCCAGATTTTAGAATTGGTTTAACTTTGTCCTAACTCCAAATATTTGTCAAATTATAATCATTTGAAGTTAATAAAAACTCGCATGTCATTTATTTTTAGATGATCAGTTCTGGATATTTGCTTTTTCTGCCTCTTTTTACAAGGAAAGTCATTTGGAATCTTGTTAAAATGAATGTTAGAAGTGATAAATAACAGACAGGTTTAACTTGACACTATTTAAAAAAAAAAAAAAAAAAATAACCATGTCAAGTGAATTTTGGGGCTCCTACAACCCAAAATTCAGTCAAATTAATACAATTATTTGTCCATATTTTGTCTGTTTTTTTTTAATCTGACACCCAACTTCGAATAACATTGACAAAAACTTCCAGAGACAATTTTTTTTTTCTCTTTTTAGTGTAAGTTTCCAAATATTAAAACAATTTAAATTTGAAAAATCTAAGAAAATTGATCAAAACCCAATTTTGACAGTATAAGCTAGACATGGAATATCAGCTTTCAATATAACTTCCCTTGTATTTTTCAGAAAATCATGATCTAGACCTCTGTTTCTAGGTTCTTGGAGGTGCTGAATCCATTTCCGACATTGAATCCCATAAACAATAGGTTAGATACAAAACTGAAGCTCTCTTGAGGTATTTGATTCTTCATTGCAGAACAGAGTTTCTAGGCCTAAACCATAATCTTTTAATTAAAAATAGGAAAGTTTTGTTTTAATTTTTCTCTTAAGTACAAATAACATTAATACAGGTCTATAATCACCCCCACCGCATTAAAAATTTTTATTAATTTTTCTAGAGTAAATTTCAGTTCAGTGAATGTTATTACATCTGATGTTAATTCTCTCAGCAACACCAGCTAAGCTTTCTACTTATGATTAGTAAATATAAAGAAATTTATTTACTGAAAAAAAAGTTTGAACAAAGTAACTATAAATAACTTCTGTTTTTTTTCTATCCTCTGCCAGCTGCAATGATCACCTTCAACCGTCACCTTTGAGACACGCTGCAAGAGCCACTCCATTTCATGATGCTCGTCCCTTAATTGAGACACAATCGTGCCAATCCTCCAAAGAAACGTCATTGAACGAGGGCCAATAAACCCAGAAGTCTCCACTGCCACATAATTGAACTGAA